GCCCCGGGGGAGCGGGCGCCGCGCGCGCTCCCATTGGCCGCCCCGCCGTCAGCTGCTCCTATTTTCTGCTGTCGCTTTTGGCGCTCGGCCATCCAGAAACAAACCACTTCGATGACTACTAATAGTTATAGCCAGATGTACTAATACACAACAAATCACGGTCCGGGAGAGGGGCGAGCAAATGAGTTCCTATTTTGTGAATCCCACTTTCCCTGGGAGCCTGCCCAGTGGCCAGGACTCTTTCCTCGGGCAGATCCCCCTTTATCCGGCGGGCTATGATGCTCTGAGGCATTTTCCGGCTTCTTACGGGGCAAGCAGCCTGCAGGACAAGACTTACACCTCACCTTGTTTTTACCAACAGTCCAACACCGTCATTGCTTGCAATCGGGCTTCCTATGAGTATGGAGCCTCTTGTTTTTATTCGGACAAGGAAATTAGTAGCGCCTCTCCCTCCGGCAGTGGCAAACAGAGGGGGCACGGGGACTATCTGCACTTTTCTCCCGATCAACAATACAAATCGAGCAGCGTGCAAACCAAAATTGTAAATGACGAAGGCACCGACCGGAAGTACACGAGTCCTGTTTACCCCTGGATGCAGCGGATGAACTCCTGTGCTGGTAAGTCATTTGAATGAAATCGAGGGGGGAGGAAAAGTTTCTTTCCCCAAGATTTATTTTTTTTTTCCTTAGATAAAGTCCAGACTGCTGGAGAGAAATGGCTCCTGCAGGGCAATGTGTAACATGAAACCTTCCCAGGTTATTTTAGACCTGGCACATTGGCACCCTGGGAGCAGCGGCCGAGAGCCCGGCTCGTGGGTTATCTGGTAAAACTTACTGAGGGATCCTTAGGAAGCAGCGGGAAAAAAAAAAAGGAAAAAAAAAAGAAAAGAAAAGCAAGGAAGGAGCAAGGCTGTTTCACCACTCTCCTTAACCCAGCCTAAAGCCCCTGCTTCGCTCCTGCATTGTCAGAGAGCGCTGTAAGGAATATGCCCTCTGCGCTGAGGCTCCCATGCAGTGGTGGCACATTCCTCACGGCCCCCCTCCCCCAGCTCATTAGCGTGTCAGTATTGGATATTGAGAGCACGTTTCTGGGGCCGTGTGCGCACTTCCACGGCACCGCGCATTTCCCCTGGCTTCCCAGTGAACCTCACGCAGTGGAACTATTCTGCCTGGGAGGGGTGCTGGGGGGTGGGGGGGCGGCTGGCATTGTCCTGGAGCGGCACTTATTTTTAATAATCCCGTTAACACGTTCACTTCCAGTGTTTGCTAGTAACTCCCCTACCCTGCCCTCCTCCAGGGTTTCTGTTTGCTGGACTCTGGGTTGTGCTTCTTTTGGGGAAAGTTTAACTTTTAGCAAGACCATTCGGATGTTGCTTTGCATTTCAGTGCAATAAATTCCGGAGCAAATGGCAAAGGCTGTTCTATGATCTTAAGCTGATGTCTATAATTATACCTAAATTGCAGAGCCTCTATAATCACAGCCATGGCAATAGAAGGTGTTTGTGTAAACACGCACATCCACATGTATGCGGGCACGCACACACACGCACACACACATGCGTGCGACTCCCTGGGTCGCACACACGTGTGTGCGTGTGTGTGTGCGTGTGTGTGTGTGTGTGTGTGCGTGTGTGCGTGCGCACACAGGCTCTCGACGTGCAGAGTGTAGGCACTGCTCAGCGATTTATGAGGCTGTTACCCACTTCACTTTTCCTAGGTCCAGCTTACAGGCTCTTTGTATCAGAGTTACCCCATCGACCCTAAGCACGATGCACACCCGTATTTACAGCTCTTCAGGCAGGAGAAAAGGGGGGAAATAAGCCTTCAGAAAACCAGAGCACCCCACCACCACCGCGTGTGATAGTGCCTGCGAAAGGAGGCAGAATATACTAACCACTCTTTCTGATCTGAAAATCCCTGGGCCCTGTCCAATGCGATCATTTTGTCTTTACTTCTACAGGTACAGTATATGGATCTCACGGGAGACGAGGGAGGCAAACTTACACCAGATACCAAACGCTAGAGTTAGAGAAGGAATTTCATTTTAACAGATACTTAACCAGAAGACGACGTATTGAGATTGCAAACGCTCTCTGCCTTACTGAACGCCAGATTAAAATATGGTTTCAAAACAGGCGGATGAAATGGAAAAAGGAAAACAAATTCATAAATTCCGCACAGCCCAGCAGCGAAGAAACAGAGGAAAAGTCAGGGGAGTAGAATCATATTTAATAAACGCTACCAGGCCTTTCCTTAGCGCTTACTATTCTCACTATTATGTACCTTGTGTTCCTTCGGCTACTAAAATCCTATAGGTTTGTCACAGTCTATTAATTCCCCAAAGGCTTGGCTAAAAGATATACATTTACAGTCAACTGTGACTTTCTTTAATATATGTAGAAGTCTAAGCTTTCGAGCTGTGTCGTGTATATATATAACCACCTTTCCAAAGCATAGATGGCTTTGCTTAAAGTATTTGAGAAATGGCTCAGATTTTTAAATATTTGAAGTGAGCATCTGTGTGCGGGTGAGTGTCCATGGCATGTCTGTGTGAGAACAGATAAGGGAGTGATTTTGTTGTTGTTTGTTTTTTAATTAGGAATGTTCATATTGTAGAAATACGAGAAATTTTAGAAAATCTTGGTTTTACATTTTCACTAATTCCGGCTATGCCGGGCCGTCTCGTGTTGTGTTTGGGAGCTTATAGTTTGTAGGGGGAAAAAAAAAGTTTTACACATGTATAAGCATTTAAATCGCAAAAAGAAGAAAATTTCTTTAAAAAAATCGTTATATAAAAATATGAGTATGAACTTGCAGTTAAAGCAAAGGTGAATCGCAGGGAGATTTTTAAATGCCGCTAAACTGTCTAATCTGCACTACGAGTATTAAAGTAAAAACTCGCGGTTAAACTTTAGGACAAGCGAGGGAAGAGGTTTTAAGGAGGGCGAACTTCTGTGGTTCCCGTTGAGCTAACACTGAGATTTCGGTGAACTCAGCTTTACACGGAGAGGGCTCTGAATTATAGACTACATTTCGTGGAGATTCATGGGCTTGGTTATTTCTTTAATTCTTTCTTTCTTTCTTTTGGTTTTTATTTATTTATTTTTATTAAAAGTAAAGTAACTGTCATATTGACTCGGGAATGTTCTTCCCCGCTTTTGTGGTATCTCAATTCACATTCGCATTTCCTAGTACTGAAAAAAAAATATATAGCTATAGACACTCTAAAGAACAGCAGCTGCGATAAAATCCTTCCATTTCGAGTTCTCTTTAAGTAAAATGAGCGCAGAGAAAATATTGTCTAATATATGCATTATATATATTGTGAGTGTGTGAGTGTGCGTGTGAAGCTGTGTACAAATATACGTGTATACGCATCAAGGCTCTTTTGTTCGAAAGGAAGCATAATTTGGGCAACCGCTCTGAACATTTTAAAAGCCACATCGCGAAAATATTAGTGCAAAATGGCTACCATCGCATTTGTATTTTTTTCTGGGAGGCGTAAAAACAACGCTGACCATAAAGCCGTCTGGAATTTGACCCCCTAGCCAGAAAAATGCTGCACAATATTTATCTTTCATAGGTACCTGCCATTTCAGATCG